CCATCTTACGAGCACTTTACCTTCACACATCCGGCAGAGTGAGGGTCTATGGCAAGCTTTCCTCGCAATTCACTGTCAATAGCGGTGTGCGACAGGGCTGCCCTATGTCCCCATTCCTCTTCAACTTCGCAATCGAAGACGTTCTGTCGAATGCTCTAGAAGGTTTCCAACATTTTGGCTTAGAGCTTCTACCGGGTGAGCGAGCGACCGACTTAGATTATGCTGATGAGATCGTCTTACTTGGTGACGATCCTCAGGGTATGCAACTCATTCTGGATCGTTTGACGGTTGAAGCACCTAAGTATGGCATGAGCTTCGCCCCATCGAAGTGTAACGCACTGCTCAAGGATTGGCTTTCACCTGCACCCGTGCTCACTCTCCAAGGTGCACAACTTGAACAGGTAGATAGTTTCGTCTACCTTGGGAGCTGTGTTTCCGCTGACGGCACAATCAACAAAGAAGTTTCGCTTCGTATCGCTAAAGCTCGATCACCATTTGTCAATCTGAGGCACTTGTGGCGTCGTCGCGACGTCTCATTCCCACTAAAGGGCCGAGTTTACAGCGCGTCAGTTCGCTCAGTATTGTTGTACGGGAGCGAGTCCTGGCCGATTCGCGTGGAAGACATGCGTCGTCTTTCTGCGTTCGATAACGGTTGCTTAAGGAGGATCGCTCGTGTTCGGTGGCAACATCGAGTTACCAGTAATGACGTTCGACGTCGCGTCTTGGGGAATGCAAGTATTTCCTTCAACAAACTGGTTTTGTTGCGTCAGTTAAGATGGCTCGGTCATGTCCTACGCATGGCACCTGAGCGTCTACCGCGTCGCGCTCTATTCGCTCGTCAAGGACCTGGCTGGAAGCGACCGCGTGGTGGTCAGCCTTCCACTTGGCGGCAGCACATGAAATCGCTGACGTCGTGTCTAGCCGCTGTTGGACCCGTACGTCTTCCAGGATGGGGACCCAAAGATGGCGAGTGCCAATGGCTTAGGACACTTGAAGACATGGCCCGCAACCGGAATCAATGGAAGAATTGTGTACAGTGTTGTGTTGATTCACATGTTTAATTCTACAAAAATTGAAAATGACAAAAAAAGAGAAAAACCGGCGTGTGACAAACAAACTAAAAATGTTTTGTTCTGTATTTTTGTCAAAATATTCCATTTTCTTGCGGCATATTAGCTGAAGTGTGTTGCCCACCTTCAGCTAGCATGCCATGACGATTATGACGCAATGACTGTCTCTTATACACTGATTTCCATGGTTTTCTTGGCTCTATGTCTAGTTACTAGACTGTTGAGATTACATACATGGGTCAAACGGATCGAAATAGAGTTATGTAACCGAGTCGTCTCCTGGATGATTACTAAATTCAAAGCGAAATCTCTTAGCCCCGCACTTCGGCCATGGGAAGAAGAAAATGGGCAACTCCCAATACGCATTTCACCACCAGGCAGCACTGCTTTCTGGCGTCCAATCCGCAGGCCGTAAAAACTTAAACTGATTACCGATTAAAATCCTCCGGTACAATTGGAAAAAAGGCACAAGCAGTACGCCGGTACGCAGTATCGACACTTCGCTGCCGCGCACCCATCAAAGTCACGCGTGGGCTAAGCATACTGCGAGGGTTGCCCGGTCCCCTACGCAGGCTTGAACCCGCACTCTCGGATTACAAGACAAGTTTGTTACCTTTAGGACGCGGACTGGCCCAGTACGATTGGACTCAAGGAGAATCCTCAGAAACTGTCTCACCAACAAAAGGATTGGTACAAAGAACGAAAAACCCGGAACGCGTTTCTATGACTTCATAGGGACGAGATATTCATCACGCCTAGACGTAACATCACTTCTGGCTTGCCTGAAAACTAAAACTCGCAAAATACGGGTCTGGGGCATGATCCAAAATAGACATAGGTTTGGTGAACGCCAAACGAAATGAAGTCGACAATTCCGATTGGAAACTAAGTTATTGGTATAGATACTGCGGTCTATACAAATAAGGGAAAACCGGGTGCTATTACCAAGGAGACGAGGGTCATCGCAGTTCTGCATGGCGTATTCTAACTGTAATAAACAACCCAGTTAGCAGCTCGTTGTGCGGACAATTAGAGCAACTAAAGCTGCTTCGTATGCCAAGGAGCATAACCATCTATTGAACAATACTTGATGATCATCATCAGCACATGTTTTGCTGCAGGTGGAAAAGACCTTACCCATTGTGCCGCAATAGTTAATGATAGTGGAGCCAGAGACAAAGAGTGAATCGAATCGGCAAACACTCCTTGATCAACCGTCACAAACTAACCGTGAATAAGTGGCTTTTCACTTATATCGATCTAATGATATTACCCCCGGTTATGGATTTGGTTACGGCATTGAATTCCTGAACGAGTCAGGCAGCCGATCAGGTGTAGCTGGACGGGGAAACAAAGTGGTCACACTGAAGTCCGCTGAATCGACAAGTAGGCAGTCTGTTAAGGTAAGAAGATCATGAGCGCGTGTCCTAGGGGGACAGTGCAGCTCAGCGTGAAACAATACCGAGATAGTCGATCGTCTCGGTTGACCAACTATAAGGAAAATAACGATATGCGACGGAGTTAGTTGGATCGATTAAAATCCAAGGGGATGAGAATGAGGGGGGATAGAAAACAAATACAAAATAAAAAACAGCTTCAGAAAATCGATGAAACATCGAAATCGTCGGAGGGAAGCTAATAGTCGGTTATACTCCCTGATCTCCCATTTCCATTCCTCAAATGAAATCATAACCTGAACTCTCGTCCGCTTAGATTCAGGTCCCCGAAAGAACAGAATGAAGTGGCAGGTCGGTAAGCGCGCGAACACAACATAACTCGGTGTAGTATCAGATAACCTTTGGTTAAACAGTAATTAGTGGACATTTGGTGACAGAGGCCGATATGATCAATGCTGCTAGAGAACCCTTAGTTCAAGTTCAGTGGTACATTATGTCAAGCGAGTAAAGGGCGCGCCTTGCAAAGGGACCATAGTTCAGCGCCGTACACACCACTACGATACCACTGCTTCTGGACTTGGGCGTAAGCCCTAAAAACTACACAGGCTTCACTGACAGGCGTCATAAATTCCACTGCCAGCGGAATACCCGGTAACACAAAAGTATCGTAAGTATGAGAACCAGTCCCTAACCTCGAAGAAGAAGTGTGTAATCGTAAGAATCGATGATGTAGGAAGCCTATACAAAAGCAGTGCCTTGCATTATGGGAGTGAGTGAAGCATGCAAAGCGAGCTCTGTGTTTAGACACTCAATTCGGACGCGCGTGTGTGATAGCTCGGTCCAACTGTATAAGGATCTCTAGGATTTTGCAGGGAATTTAAATGGCTGCGGGTGTCGTTTGTAAAAGATTAGAGATTGAGAGCATCAAAAGCCTCGTCGTCGAACGAATACCAGGGCTACATAAACGATTAGTTTCCATGCGAGTGTGGGTTATGTTGGGGTATCTAATAGCTGGCTAGTTTGAGGAGAGCAGTAGGTGCTATAAGTGGCAGAGCCCATAACATCAGCGAACGATGCGAATTGGAGGATGCATTGCACGACTGTCAGATTCGAGAGAGACCACAAAAGACCCGTCAGTCTCTAGTGTTTGACTCAGAAATTTTATCCCTAAGTTGGGAGAATAAACATTCCCTGGAGAGCTGTACCGTATGCAGTCTCGTATATGGATGTTTAAATTGTAATTGCTGATTGGTTGGTCCGGGTTGAGAGTTTCAGCGCGCGGTGTTGGCATTGGTCGGACTGTATGCAGACTCGGTGATTTGCGTAGGATTACCTTACAACCGTCCGATTTGTTAGGCGATGCTCCGTAGCTACAGTAAACATCAAGCGAGTGCCAATACATTGGAATGTCGAAAAACGTGGCCACCCGGACTAAGACGCCTGATGAGAAAATAATAACAAACCTGTTCTTCCTCGGCGTAGTAGAAGCTTTCTTGCATGCTCTGCCCCAAAATCTTTGAGTCCATGAATTGGAGCCAGTTGTCGCTCGACGTAAATGTCTGTTGGAAATGTCGTCAACTTAACCCACTATCCGGAATAGACACTAAGATGTATGATGTCCCCCAGCCGCTGAAGGACCTAGAATTGGTGGTTCCGAAGGTATTCACAACGACACTTATTAATTCCGCTACCATGAAAACCCTCAGAGCAAGATGATCCCTAGATTTATGAAGCTGCGGCACGCAGATACGCTACACGGTTTCACAAAACTCCGTGGAAAGGTAAAGTGATGCGAAGGTCTATATTAATGTGGAGTTTTAAAATACGAGGAAAGCCGTCGCTGCGATAGTGACAACAATAAAATCACGGCTACTTCTGGAAGTTGTCATAATGAATATAACATGCAAAAGCCCCAGTACAATAATTCATTGATTCTAAATGAAGTGTGAAATTAATCAAGCAAGGTCGATGAATGCTCTGCTGGTATGACGAAAAATAAACCAGACAATTGGAAAACGCCAGTGAGCGCCTAGTGGAATGCAGTTACGCGGGTAAAGTCAGGCAACTATGACGGAATATTTTATAAAGTCTTCGATGTAACGAGCCCGCTTATAGTATGAAGGAAAAATCAGTAAATAACCAAGCCAGTTCCCATCCAGCACAAGAAGCCGGTCACCATAGATTAGCGGGTGTTAATGAACAGGAACCGGAGTAGTAGTGGGCATATCAAAACCTGATCGGCAACAGATTGCAGATTGTAAGGCTAACAAAACTGAGTGATCGCCTCACATTCAGGTAATTGTGGTGCGAATCTGGAACACGGCTATATGCACTGATGTCGGTTGTGGACCAAAACAGACAGGGAAACATTTAACAAGGCAACAAGGTATCAGTCCAATAGGCACAAGTATGTTCAGGTAGATTGATAGAAAAAGATGTCCCCACTGGTGGACGCAGTAAAGACCGGCTAATAATGAGCGTCATTTAGATCTAAAAGCATTCAAAAGGAGAGAGAGAAAATGCGGAAACATACCGAGGCTAACCCATTTTCTCCAGCATCAGCCTGCCAAAGATCGAAGCGATCACCAATGATAATCTTCTTAGCTGGTACAAGACGTTGCAAAACAGATTGTAAAAACTCCATACAATTACGTCGGTTCAAAACCGAACGTGCTTGCATGAAGGATACGTTCAGATTATCTCGATCGTGAAACACAGAACCACCTCCAGATTGTCGACGCGCTAAAAGCCACTGGTTTGCTCGCAAAAAGTCGAGATTGCATTCTTTCCACGCATTTTGAAAACGGCCAATAACTACACATGGGTCGCTGCGCCACATAAGAATGTCTGTGGGGGCCGTGCGCGACCTGTCCTGGGTATGGAATCTTTCATTGTCGGTGAACAATGCAGCTTCAAACGCTAGATTCCGGAAAATATCCCCTGACTGCAATAGAATAACTCGGCTCGAACAGTAGAACAAGAAGGGAGACAAACGCATGCTTCGCTTTGCAGTGAGCTAAACGAAACCAATTTATGCAGGTCCGTGGCGGTGAAATGAAATAGAAATTTTATTAGGCGTAGAAAACACGTGACTAATTAGTTCAATGCGGGAAACAGTAAAAACAAGAATAAATGCATTGAAAGGATAATGGTGAAATTGCTGTAAAGTACGCATGTGCGTACCGCTTACTTACGTTGTGCTGTGGCTCAATATAAGCGGAGCAACGTGTCCTCTGGTCGCTTTTTGAATTCAAACCAAGTAAAAGCGGGAAAGCGTGTCAAAACTGACATTCTCGAAGAAAACGTAGTGGCAATATGCAGACAAAATGCACTGTATTACCAACGTTAACTTGTGGTGCGGCTGAGCTACAATAGATGGCGGTAAGCTTGGTTGAGGACCTTGAGGATATGATGCATCATTATGAGATTACCCAGGGGACACTAACGTTGCCCGCTGTAAACTGCAATGGCCCCCAGTCCAAGCTAAGGATGAAGATGGAACACTCCCTTAACTGTTCAGCTCCATTACGTTGTGACCCCGAAGACCAGCGGGATACATCCGGATGGTGTATCCCAAATGGGGCCTCACGTAAACGGTAAGATGGCTGGATAGGGCTGACAAGTGGCCAAAACGTTGATTAGTTTATTTTTACTTCTTTTTCGGTCTGTCATGTGCAACCAATGCATCCTTTATCACCTGCCCGAGGTCACTTTGAAGAGGCTAGCTGCAAAGAAATGCTCTCCATACCAATACATATGGATGCTCTGGTGGCGTGTGCTCCGTATTTCGTACTTGACCACGTCAAAAAGGGATGTGTTCCGAATCGGCCAATCGTCAGCCTGATCGATGCCGCGTTACAGCGCTATGTGGCTGATCGCTGTCTCGATGACTCGCCATAACTCAAACCGGCAGCGAATAATGAAACATTCCGAATGATCACCTTTGCAAGACAGATGATGAAAATTAGGAATATGCGTAGTTTTGGCAACGAACTTGGCGGGGCGCCTCAATTCAACTTTGTTGGATCGGATATTGTTAGGAGAGTAGTCACAAAATGATTAATTCGTTTCGTTGAAGATTATTTTCAACAATTACGGTTAGTTCTTTCGACAGTTTTAACTAGTCACTGATAATGCTCTGGACTGTGGTGCAATTTTCACTGATGAAACCACAATCGTTCCGGATTATCCCATTTGAGGATGCATTCTACATCAATTCTGTTCACTTTTTACTTACCATATTGTTGACCATATGGTTGATTCAATGGTATCAAGAACAAATCGGTGACCATGAGGTCCTAAAACGGTTCCGACAATAGCACTTTGGGTTGAGAATTTGAGAACAGGCATCAAGCAACAACAAGCGCAGTTTGAGCAATCGAAATCGCGATTCATTAAATCTCTAGCGCCTTCCCCCTTAATTGCAACTAAAAGCTCCAGTCACGAGCAAAAGGCTGGGTATTCTAAGCTGATGCCACAGCGGCATACATTTCGGAGTTGCACTACAAACGTACATCCGGTATCACCTACGATGCGTAGCCCAAGCGCTTAGAGAACACTTTCAAAAAAGCGTTTGCAGAGGGATGCACCGTTGGGAATCCCCTTATTCCGAAAACAGAACCGTCGAGCGTGATCGTTTCACTAACTTCATTCTCCCAAAGATTGACATTAGGCATACAGAGGAAAAGCTGCGAGATTTTCAGTAACAAACACCATATTCAACACCCGATACAAAGTTTCAAGTTGACAAAACGCAACATACGCGATTACTTCACTAATGCAGCCCTTGGTCAAGCATGCCAATCAGGAAGTCTTGTGTATCGAAGGCTCCCCTTCTCATCCAAGAGATATCCAGTTTTAATGAAATACTATATCGGCTGTCATGCACGACCTGTGAGCTTCTTCTTGTGGCACTGTTAATCGTTACCGCACTAGTAACTGGATATCCGAAAGGATCTGTTGAAATCCGGAAGAAAACTCCCATCTGCCTCTGAACACAATGGAACCAGACGGATTACTAGGTATAAACTAAAGCTGAGCCTGCTTGCGAAAAAGAAAACCAGGTGGACCAGCAGAATTCAGGAAACAGAGCAAGCTGGAGCAATAGGCAATAATCACAAACTCTTCCAACTAATTTGCACGTCTAGTCCCATGGACTAATGAGTCTGTGAAATATCGGAGACAAGACATATGTCCGAATTCACAAAAAGCGCTGGCTGGCTCCTTCGAGTTGAATACGTCAGAGCCGTTCATTTGGCCTAAAGCCGCTGGGATCCTCTTCTTGTAAAGGTGGTGAGGTCTATACAATGGAAAACTAGCTAAGAGGCTTCATGGACACTGAGGTACGAAACACAATCACAGCCATCAATCGTTTTGGCACTGACCGTCCGGAGTCACTTGTCTAAAATTTGTAAAGATGATCAGTTCTTCCAAAAAGCACCGAACTCTCTGTTGGAACAGAGCTGCTTTAGCAACCGTAGAGAACGAGCTAGATCGTTGGTAATAATCCGGAATATGCAGCCTGTCAAGTATTTATCCGATTGAGGAGAGCCGTACATGTTTTCGATCGCGGAAAGTTATACACCTGCAATCACATTCAACCGCAGGTGGGCGTTGCCGGGTTTGCGTCAATTTGACTAGGTGCTGCCTGTCTTGAGGAGGGCGGTAGAAAACCATTAGGCACCAGGCGGTGTCCTCCCAGCGTTAGATACAATGCGTGGTGCTCCCTTTCTGCGCTAATCGGGCTGTAAACCTATTGTCTCCCATGGCCAAGCCCTAAGGGAAGAGGGTCATGGGTCTTTCCTTAATCCCCGAAAAGGATGTGGAGACCGAGTTAGTCTGGCTTCTAACTGTGATTCTGAAGGTGTTGCGAAATCGTACGTACCGTAGCTCTATTGGTCATGCAGGTACGCAAACTATCGCAAAATGTGAAAGTGCAGTTTCGTCGAAATAACCTGACCGCTCTTCTACCAACGCGTTGCGAGTAGGAAAATGAGTCAAGGGCTAGAGATGGAAAATTCTCATAAAACCGGTCTAGAAGTGGACGAGAGAGGAGTAACATCGGCCCACAGAACAAGTGTTGTCAGTGATTTGCTTCCCCTCGCCTACAAGCCACATATTTTCGCGTGCAAACAGAAAATGGCACCAACTCCGCGCCTACGACTGAGGACGTATTCAAGTCAATCTTCAAACCGAGGATCCCAAGCAAACATGGCCCTCGCAAAGTTAGAAATCTATCAGTTAAAACAGCAAAAAGCATAAGCGCTGACTTGCGTTATCTTAAAAACGAGTTGATATCTTCGAAGGCGCACATAAGGAAATGGCGTTGCAACAGAGCCACAATTGTATGGCTCTGATTCTGTTGACAATTACTGTACCCATCATGTCGGTAGCTAAAAATGCGTTCTGTGATCGTATTGCCCTCACTCGTAATGCGATCACCCCATTCGAAAGGATACCACTGAGTAGTATCGCGTGTACACTTCAACCTCGAACCTTCATGGGAACTCAAAGAAATCAGTCAAAGTCAGGTTGCAATTTTTCAAGCAGATTTCAGAGCACCGAAATAAGGTGCAATTGGCTGTTGAACTGATCGCTGAGCTTGGCAATTTGGTTGCAAACGTTTCGTTACCAATCGTGGTGACATCATCCATGCGTAGTTGAGTGGGGTGCAATAGCGTAAAGTAGCGCAAAGGAGCCTCGGTGAGAGTGCGCTGAGCGCGGTGTGCGTGCGTTTATATACCGCCGTGGTTGGCCGTAGAGCCGAGCAATCCCATTGGTTGGGACTACGATCCGCGTTCTGCTTGGTTGATAGGCAAATGACCTTTGACCTCGCCTCCTTGGGTTTCGTGGCCTGGGTCTGCTCCCTCTTGCGAGCGAGTCTGCCGTCAATTCTGGCACATTCGCTTGCAAGAGCAAACAGACAAAGGCCACGAAACCCAAGGACGCGAGGTCAAAGGTCATCTGCCCACCAATCAAGCGGAACGCGGGTCGGTCCCATCCAATGGGATTGCTCGTCTCCACGGGCAACCACGGCGGTATAAAAGCGCACGCACACCACGCTCAGCGCACTCTCACCGAGACTCCTCTGCGCTGTTCTTCGCTACCGTATGCCACTCAGCTACGCATGGATAATGTCGCCTCGATTGGTGACGAAACGTTTGCAACAAAATTGCCAAGCTCAGCGAACAGTTCAACAGCTATCTGAACAACCTGAGTTACCAGTCTTCAAATCTATAAGGTGCAATTTTATAGTGACGTATCGCCGGTCCGTAACCTTAAAGAATACAAGGCTGACTTGTAATCCGATGTCGCACGTTCGAACCTGCGTAGGGACCGGGCGACCCTCGCAGTATCCTTAGCCCACGTGCGACTGGTGGTGGTTTCGCGGCAGCGATGCGTCGGTAGTGCGTGCCGGCGTACTAGTGATGCATCAAAACGGATTATATATGCAGCTCTCAAGCTCAAGGGTTTTACCAAACACAAGAGCAATGTGATAGTTGTTGGTGATAAGAAAGTTCAAGTGCGTCGCTTATAGGGAGCAGCAGTAATAGTTTTGGAGCCGATGACTACTGAGCTGAAAGTTGCGAGCGACTTCTACAAATATGCACCGATTACAGATCTAATACCAGCAAGCTAAGGCACATGTAATATATATGTGCGGGAGAGGTTCCGATATTTCATTAGCTCAGTACGGATGAGTCTGTCGGATAAGCAGGTTCACTCTTCAGACACCTGGCTTGCCGAACAATCTCGTGGTGCCAGCTGGGCGGTTCAGGTATTTCCCACACCGGCGAATGGTTAGGCGGCAGTGTCTCAGAATGTGGTGGGTTTACGCCTGGCAAGCGTTCTCCTTATAAAAAGCCATAAGTGGCTGATTAACAACACTGCGAAGTGGCGGATGTGACTCACCACTAACTAGAGTCATTGCCCTTTGCCTTCCTCGGAGACATTGCATAAAGGCAATCCGAGCATCAAATAGTGCCTTTGACTTCGGGAGTGTTGGGTTCCTGGTACA